TATATACACGACGAATTCCCATTTGAAATTTAACCTAATCCTCCATTACTCACATGAAATATATATATATATATACTTAATCAGCGTATTCCTTCATGCATCGTCTCCACGTCATTCGTGTGCTGGGCTCGTCCTCCTCAGATTTGAAAAGACCAGCGATGACAATAACACTCAAAATCACCCAGTTTTCCTGAAGCTGTCCAATCAGTGTCAACGTTTAGGCGATTATTCAAGACTCTCATCCATATTTCATCTAGGACGAAAGCGATCAGGAATAACGGATTACAGCACCCTTGACGAAAACAACCGCTCATTTCGAATCATCCGTTTAGCTTGCTGTAGACCCTTACTCTACCAGAAGTACGTGAATACAGTAACTTCAGTAATTTAATATACTTCTGAGGTATTCTTTTGCCAACCAATTGGGAATTCAGGATCAACTGAGCAAAAGACTCCTTTCAGGTCGAGGAACACAATATTCGATGATCGACGTGTGTGGTGTAATTCAAGGGCTTCAGATAACGTGATCAATACAACAACGACCTGGTCGGAATCCTGTTTGCTGCTCGCGAAGATCTGTTTCTCCCAAGGACATTGTCACAAATGCTACAACTGGTTACGATCCGAACCTAACTTAATCCAAGATGTTCGGAACCCGCAAGGATTTGCCTATTGACGATGGGATGGGTTCTCAAGATCAGACTGTGTATAGTCATCGACAGAATAACCCCACCCCCGCCAGCTGAAGAACGAGGAGCCCGTCAGACAAGGGCCGTCTTTTTTCAGCGATACAATATAACATAATACTTTGTTGTTCTGTTGGGGACTCATGATACAGCCCAGTGAAATACCTACTAAACGCTAACCCAGTGAATGGGCTTTATTGTCTCTTGCCTCAAACAGTTCTCAATCTCTGATAACAGAGTGACCGCAAGGCAGTGGATGAGACGAAGTGGGGACCCATTTACTTGAGTCGATCACTCCTCCAGCATTTTTTTTACCGACTACAAGGCCAATTTAAGTCAAATTTCAACCTGCAGGACCAGGAAACTGAACTTTGATTAACCTCTACACTTCAACTATCCAAACATGATCAGATCTTTGTCTTAACAAAAGCCATTCTAAACAGGTCATTGGACCACAGAGGTGCACAAGCTTTCGATCCATCTTAAGGTGTAGAATCTTTATAACAGACGGAGAATAATAATGGAAGACTCATTTCATTTACCGCATCAAGTCCCAAGGAATAAAGTGTTGGTACAAATAGCTAAACAACGAGCATTTGGGTTTGCCGCTTCTACTGCTCATCGTAGTGGTGCATTAATCCAGAAAAGGATAGCAATGACTCCACAAAAAATTGGTATCTGATATTTCCCGGAGCTGACAGAACCTAGTTCTGCTTGCACGTCTGTCTACAGACCAAATTTTACGCATGTTTGAGCCAGATCACGAAGTGATCGAGACTAATCCCCCAATGGGTGTGGGTGGATCGAGAAAATCTGTACCTAAACGTAAAACACAAAAATTCTGGACAACAATAAATATACACAACAGTTACATGTTCGCCCTCAGATATTTGCGATACACAACCTAATTCTTGC